TGCACTTTCCCTGGTAATGCTTCAAAAGTTTTTGGAAAGCTCAGAACATCTCCTGGTTTTTGGCTGTGAACTCCCACCTGAGAAGTAGCACGAACATTTCTGAGAAGCACAGAAGGGTAGGACAGTGCCTGGCTGCCATGGCCGCTACTGTAGGGACACAAAACCTCCTTTCTGCATCTCACAGGCCCTTTGCTGATCCTGTGGATGGTAATGCTCTTCCACTGAGGAAAATGAGCAAACTCTCTCAACTGCTCCTCCCTTCCCAGGAGCCACTCTAACCACTGTAATGACAACCAGGAAGCCCTAGAAGACTACGGATTTTGTTACAAGCCTGTTATAAATCCCTACAAGTCTTCTGAGCTGCATATCCACATTTTAAGCCCCTTATTGGTGTAAGGGCATCCCAGCACAGCGGTTGTATTGCTACACTTACTGAGTTTGAAGCTTGCAAGACTCAAGCAGGGAATCCACAGATGCAGGCACTTTGCCTGATACATAACCTGCCTATTCAGATGATGGTAAATGTGTCTCTTCTCTTTGACTCTCCAATAACCAGTTCTCCCCAGTATCACTCCTTGCAAGTCCTGTTGTATCACCTATGGGTATGAGTTCCAAGCACACAATGAGGTGATTCTCAAAGATCACAAAGAGGGAAATCTTAATTCAGATTTATTTTGCTGAGCTTTAAGCTTTTATTTTATATTAATGGGTCATTTTAGAAATAGCCTTAATTTTCACTATTTGAAGATGAAAAATAGATGAAGGGTAGTCATAGTCATGAGTATGTTGAATAATAAAGGGCTCATATGGTTACATAGCACTGTTATTAGTTAATACTCAGAATAGGCAAAACTACCTACCAGTTGTAACGACTGATGAATGAAAGATAATGAAAATATATTTGATTGATACATAATGTTCTATCTACTGAGAAAACTATTAAAAGAAGGAATAGAGTAGAGTTAGATTAAGAATTTGTATCCCGTAAGAAATCCAGCATTTGCCTTTGTCCTAAATTTGGATGAGAGAATTAGTTAGGATTTCCATGGCATAGAAATTCAAACAGTTTTAATTCAGAAACATCCAAAACACATTATCTTTCATGTAACAGACCCGTTCCATTACATTCAACTAACATGAAATTCTTGGTTTCAAATCAGATCTCTCTTAAGCACCAATAGCAGCACACTTCAACATGCCCAAAACTCAGATTCTTTCCTATCTCCACTAGATTGCACCTTCCCAATATTCACAAAGTTAGGTGATGTCCATGGCACATGTTTTTATGGAGGACACTTGCATCATGGAGGTAAATGCAGACTGCTGCTAGAATATAATGGGGACCCAAAGCACAGTTCCCACAAAGCAATACAATGATAGAGAAATAGGATTAAAATTTTGTCAGACAGCCTAGCTGACCAAAAATGCTTCAAGTGAGTTCAGAATTTCTGACTCTGCCTCAAAGTGTGGGAAGTCCAGCGCTGGGGTTCAAAATAACGTGCTCAGAGAGAAAGGCCCGTAGCCCAGTGGCGTGTGCTGTCACCTCATCTCAGGTTTTCACCTTTCCATCTCAAGCATTGCCAGTGCTGCAAAGTGGAAATGACACACAGGTTTCCAGGCCTTGATCCTTCCCTTGAGCCATGTAACACAATGTGAGAGAGGTCACAGGTGTGACCCCCCCCATAACCTGTGGGACATGTTAGGATGTGTTGTGTGATCCTGGCTTAGTTCAGCAAAACCAACCACTCCAATTCAGCTTGAAGTGAATCAACGGTTTGGATTTTCCTGACTTCTTTTTTTCTCCTATCATCAAAATTTTCCTTGGGGAAATCTGACTTGGTAAAAAAGCTGCTTTTCTTTGGAAAAATCCTACTGATGGAAAACTCCCACATAGCTACAATAGTGACCTCAGAGATAACCAGCCGTGTCCATGCTGGCTTTCAGCCTATCTTCTCCCCATCACTTGAAAAGCAACAGCCCTCGTGCTGTCCAGGACAGCCTGGCCTCACCTGGCTAAGGGGGAAAGTGAGTTGCAGAGCTGTTAGGCTCAAAGAAGGTCTGCAGCTTGGATGTCTGTTCTTCCCACTGCTGTGGCAGCAGCAGCGGGAATGGAGAGGCAAGATCCTCTTGCCTCAAGACATGCAGGTTTTACATGAGTTAATGCAGCTAAAAAAAACAATAGGCAGACTGGGATCATTTGTAGCAGGGGAGGGGTGTAGTTGGAGGGGGGACTTAGCATGAAGTTCTGCTTCATGATCAGGGGTATCTAGATAGGGCTGCAGGAGTCTTATCACCCAGGACAGATTTAGAGCCATTTTATAGCAGCATGCTAAAGTTACCAAACGTAGGGCCACCAGATTAAGTACTCTCATAACAGTCATTAGTTTTTCATCTTTCAATACTCAAGCAGAGAGAAGTGAAGTGGCTGGTCCAAGACCACAAAAGCCTGATGATGAATTTACCTACTGCATCTCCTCTGAGCACCTGGGAAATCCTGGGGTCATAGCTCCATCTCTGTGATCAAACCATTGAGTCAACGCCATTCCCAGATACCAGAATCATGGCAAGTCTTTTGATACTAGCAGGGAATACAATTGTATAACATACACATCTGCATGCTTTCTGCACACCCTATATTGATGTTAGGCAGCCTGGATGGATATTTTCCCACTTCTTCAGTTAGATGCTTAACACGTCTACTGAACATAATAAAGTTGCAGGACGAATACCTTTTGGAAATGCTTTTGCCACTTGCTGTCTCTTTTACGTGATCCTTAAACCCTTTTCCCCTGCATACCCAGGGCTGTGCTTGGATATCACATGCACTGCAGCAGAGCCCTAGGAACGGTGCATTTTCTTGACTCAACCAAACTCTGCAGCTCTATTTGCTGCCCACTCCCCTGGGCTCAGCCTTCAGCTCCATAGCTGAAATTGCTCACCCTCAGGCACAGTACACTCAACTCTCCCACTCTTGGGAATAAAAGCATTTTGGTACCTCAGTCGCCAGCCCAAGCTGATGACAGGGTGAGAGAAATCTCCGCATATTCCTTTCCCCCATCTGTTACACGTTAACAGGCAATCAATTAGGGAACCACAGGGAGAATATGGCTGTGCTGGGGAGAGGGGGTTGGAAAGAAGCACTCTCCCTTCTTCAGATTGTCAGCTGACATATCACCCAGGCTGATAAAGGCTCTAGTTACTGCCACCCTGCATCATTTTCTTTTGATTTTCTCTGAAAACTCTTCAAAAGTTCCTTTTTCTCTCTCTCCAGGTCAGGCCTCTCTTCTGCTCTGCCACAGAGATGCTCCAGCATCGCTCCCATGAAGGGTTAGTTTTTCAGTCTCTTCCTATATAAGGAGCCCCTAGGGCTTTGCTTCAGAGTACTACCCTGTCCCTCCTTTAGCACCTGAATGTGCCAAAAAGAAACACTGGGAATGGGTCCAAGTGCTGGAGGAGGGACAGAATCAGTGTCGACAGTCAGAAGTCCAAGTAAAAGTTCACATTCAATCACAGGAGATTCAGCAATGACAAATCACAGAAATCCTGCTGGGGAACAGGCCAACGCCCTAGAGATGGCCATGCTTTCCACACAGCATAATGAAAGAGGAAGAGTCAGTGGGGCAATACAGAGCGATTATTTCAACAGCTGGATAATAGTAAGGAGAGACACCTAGAATCTAAGAAATTAAGCTAGAAATAGTGAATTCTGCAGAAACCTGGCCTGAACTGCACCCTGTACTGCTCTCTCCACTCCAGAGTTGAACATCCCCAGTGACGGAGTGTAATCAGGTCCATTCAATGAACAAAAATAAAATGTGTGCTCTCCCCACATGTGCATTTCTTTCATTTCACAGCAGACAAGGAAGTGTTAGTGTGGTGGATTGACCCCAGCCAACAGCCAAGTACACACACAGCTGCTTGCTCACTGGACATCTGTCCCCACCATGGCTGGGTAAACTCAATACACTTTCCACTGGAAGGTGAATGATCCTGTCCTTTTTCCAGTTAGGGAGTGTAGGAAATAAAGGGAGTATCTGTACGTCCAGGCACATTTGCTCACACGGGGCCTGCTTGTGTAAGTACACCCAAGCATCCATGGATATTGGAGCTTGCCTGGATGCACTCGCACTTTTGGCTATACTGTTGTACCTGCATGTGTGCACATCTGCAGCATACCTTTGGCAGTCCGGACAAAGCCATACGCCTCATATGTGAATTGTACATGCAGAAGCAATGCACTGCAATTCATCTACACATACACGCACTGAGGTTTTCAAAATCATCTGAGGAATTTCTCATCCTTAGTAAGACTGACAGAAACTGGGTAGCTCTACCTCCTTCAGTGCCTAAATTTTTTATCTTCATAGAAGTTGCATCTTAATGAAAAGGGTTAGTGGAGCTGGAGAAGGAGGAACACAGGATTGACTCTCATCCAAGTGCCCTGTCCCGCCTTGTGGTGAGGTCTGTATGGAGTCCATGGCCACAAATTAAGACTGGCGGGACAGTGTGAGAACCTCTCTACTCCTGTAATGCTGGAGCTTTCACCTCAAGGTGCAGACATCTCTAAAGAGATGCCATCTCTAGGCGAGGGCATCCATTCTTCAAATGGGCCTTAAAACCACCTTTAGAGTGCAAAGCATTTCCTTTCCAGGCCTCACTCCACTAGCAGCCCCATTATCAGGGTATCAGTGCCACTAGCAGAGGCAGGAAGATCCACTAGGCCAGATACCCAGATCTGGTAGCCAGCCAGGCTAGGAACTTGGCAAAGGTTCCTACCACCACAAAGCCTAACTTCACATCCAGGTGGATTTGGAAGGACCAGAGCTGGGCAGGAGGAGAGAGGAGGCATACAAAAGGATGGAGGGTTAGGTACATTACATTCACCCTCCCCTGCCCCCTTTTATATGACATGGAAACACTGCAGTCTCAGCAATGTCTGGGACCGTCTTCCTTTTTTGCTATGGAATGAACGTCTCAGTTTCCCTCCCTTCCCACCATACCTTGAATAGTCCTCTTGAAGAAGGCTTTGCACGCCTCACAGGAAGCCACGCCGTAGTGGTACCCAGAAGCAATGTCCCCACACACCAGGCACAGCCGCTTGGGGATTGCATTGAGCATGTACTCGCACTTGGTGGGTGAGTCCTCCATGATGGCACTGGCGCAGTCATCGTAACGCTTACGGCAGGACCCACTGCCAATCCCCGTGCCATTGAACATGGGTGGTGAGTCTAGGCCATTGGGGTGGCCACCCATGGTGATGCCGTAGCCACCGCTAGCGTCAGAGGAGCCGCTCGGGCTGTGATGGCTGATGGCGTCGATGCCAGAAGATGGGCTGGAGGGCTCGGTCTTGATGAAGGACCCACAGCTGGAGGAGAGGTGCCGCTCCTCTGTGGCCATTCTGCCGAGCAGCCTGCAGGGAGAGAGCAAAGGCACTCAGCGGCCTCCTGGCCAAACCCAGCTCCAGGTTGGTCAAAAGAGATCCCTCCTTTTCCCACCTCAGTCCAACTCCAGTTGGCTCAGGCAGTTCAACCCGCCCCCAGGTACTTCTCCTTCAGGAATATCAGTACAACTCACTAAGAACAGCCCGCCTACTCCCCACAAACTCACACTCAAATAAAGTCAAGGCTATTCGTGTAGATCACCACTTCAGGCTGTTCACAGGCTGCAGTGCTGGGAAGGGGCATCAGTGCTGATGAGGCACAAACTACCAAGAACACAATCTGCCCCTGGGACAGTAGAAAGACATGAGCCTGTCTGTGGCAGACCAGGTGAAAAAGATGTTTGGTTAGTTTAAGATGCGCTGCCCTGGCTCTAAGCAAAAAGTTCACTAGCAGACCCTGCAGGAAGGACCTGCTTAGATTGGATTTTCATTTGTAATACAGAAGTCTTTGATTAATTTTCATGGTGGATTCCTTCCCCCCCACTTCACTATCATCACTAAAAGGGGAGCTTAGAAACTGAAGGAATATCATCTGATCAAAAGTTTCCTCCAGCTTAATCTTAAATCTTAATCTTTCTTCTATTTACTAGCATAAGGCTTTTGCATGGAGACGCTTCTCTCAAATTCCCACTTCTTAGAGAGAGGGTTATGCTCTTAAGTATATGGAAAGGACTGCATCTTTACCAAATTTGCAAGCTCTTCTTATTTATTGTAGTCACAGATAGTCTTACTCCTTATATAAATGTTCAGGCTTTTTCCAGAACACTGCTAATTTTTATGATATCTTACGGCAATGAGTTCCAGAGATTACCTGTGCGGTGTATGAACAAACAAAAAATCCCACTTGTATTTGCCCATGCTGTATTTGCAGCCTTTCAGGCTCCCTGAACATCTCCTGACTCTTCTCAGGAAATGTACTTTTGCCATGTTCTCCTCATTCAGCTCTTCATTATCTATATAATTGTTCTTCACGCAGAAGTTTTTGCAGACCTCTTATCTGCTTCATCATCCGTCTCTGAACTTCCTCTAGTCTGGCTATTTCTGTTCAGTCCAGAACAGAGTTCAATGAGCCAGCTCCTCAGCAGCGTGAAACTGGCACTGCTCCATCACTTCTCCAGCTGAAGGTCTGGACAGTAGTCAAGACAAAGGCACGCCATCAATTACCTACTGACGTTACCATATTTTCAATGTTATTTTCAGCCTATCTATTATATAACTCCTTACATTGTTTGCTTTTTTTCTCTTTAAATTAACATCTAAATTGTTACCATTTCTTCAACAGAGAATATCAGCAAGTTACTTACTGCAATCCTCAGATCTTTTCCTGGGTTGCTACAGTTAATTGAGAATCCATTAAGATGTATGAAAAATCAAATTAATGCCTTCTGGTGTGCAATGTTTTGCAATAGTCAACAGTGTATTTCATCTGCCACCGTGCTGTTCATGCACCCAGCTTTATTAGGATCCTCTGGAGTTCTTCAGTCTTCCTTGATAATTTGATGTCATCTGCAGAGTCTCATTGTTCACCCTCTTCCCAGATGATTAACACATGGATCAAACACCACAACACTGATCTTTGTGGGTGAGTTTTGTAGCCTTTATCATGCTGAAAATTGACTTCTCTTTCTTTTCTGGGTAGGGTGTGTCTACCCTTTCTTTTCCGTGTCAGACACTTTTTAATTGATAATAGTATTAACCTGAGAGGTTAAATTTTCCCTTCAGCAAGATAATTTGTCAAAGGCTTTTAAGAAAACCTAAATACATGCATTTTCCTGATGATATGTCCAAAGAATTCTGACTGACTGGGGATGCTTGACTTTTCTTCTTGGAAGCTCTGCTGGTTTAAAGTTACCATACCATGGTCATGTGGGTATTTTCTATTTCTATTTCAGTTTCAGCCTATTTACCTGGTATTTGTGGCAACTCCTGCCAAGAGGTCAAACCCGTCAGGGGACAGGACAAAACATTCTGTGATACAGCAAGGCTGGAGTGCACACATATATATATCACATCTGTGTGTCTGTTGATATGAATGTACATGTTTGATATGCAGCAGCTTCACAGTCCTGCATCCTTATGATCTCATTTGACCCAAGTATCTCCTAATCTTCCCTTCTCTGTTTCATCCTGATGTTTGACCTCATCTCCTATCTCTGGGATCGATTAGCCAAGTTTGTTCTTTGGCAAGACTGTTGACCTTGAGACTATGGGCAGGCATCTCACGTTCCTCGGCTGCTTTGCCTGGTGTTACTTGAGAGGAATCCAGAGTTTGGTCCCTCTCAGAGACAGCGTGATGAGTTGATGAATGCCCATGCTTTGCCCAGAGGGTCACACTAGACCAGAGGTCATGGAGCAGTTACAGGAATAATTGTTGCAGGTGCATTCATCTTTAATCCCGCAAGGCACCTAGACAGATTGCAGATCTGCTGGTGTAATGCCAGCTGACTGTGTGGAGGAAGATGAAGCTTTGCTAGCTGAGACCAGATCTTAGCATCTCATAGCAAAGCTGAAAGCTGTTGTGCTGGCCAGATTCTGGAACCCTTCCCTACCCAAGAATTGCGTTTGTAGTAAAAACCTGAAGATCACTAGGCACCATAACATGAGATTAGGGTCAAAATAAAACACTGTTCTGCGCTGAGGAACTCCACAGTAAAAGGAGTTGGAGTTGTAATGTTAAGGGCAGACAGAGGACAACACTATGAAAAAGGCATGACAAGGAGGTGAGCTGTACTGTCAGACTCAGTCAGCGGAGTTCAAATCCCAGCTTCTGTCTCTTAAAAAGCCCAAAATTTACAGAAGACCTCAAGAGGACCCACTGAGGTATTTCCCCTGCGCTGAGGAACTCCACAGTAAAAGGAGTTGGAGTTGTAATGTTAAGGGCAGACAGAGGACAACACTATGAAAAAGGCATGACAAGGAGGTGAGCTGTACTGTCAGACTCAGTCAGCGGAGTTCAAATCCCAGCTTCTGTCTCTTAAAAAGCCCAAAATTTACAGAAGACCTCAAGAGGACCCACTGAGGTATTTCCCTCCACTGGAAAAAAAAAAAAAAAAAAAAAAAAAGAGGGGAGATCAGTGTCCTAGGACCAAGCCAACTAAAAACTAAAAAC